CTGTTGTTCCTCAAGAACAGAGGGCTCTGCTCTGATCTGGTGGAGGGATGCTGTTTCTACGCAGACCACACTGAGGTTGTCAGAGACTCTAGCCAAGCTACGGGAAGGCCTTGAACGACGTCAGAGAGAAAGGAAGGCCTGGGAGAATTGGTTTGAGTCTTGAAGATCCTCCTAATTCTGGGCAACAAGACCAGACTCTACCCACTGAGGAAAGCTGCTCTTAACCACGGGTCCTTGAATAAGACCCCGATCCCCCCACGATCTCTAGGATTAGAGATGCTCATTAAAAGAAGTGGGGAATGAAAGAATCCATATTAGGGCATCAAATTTTTGCGTGCTTCAGCTAACTTGAACATTGCTTTCTGTAAAACTGCTTGGCTGCTTTGCACCTGGGGGAGAGGGGACTTGGAAAGTGAACAGGGCATAACTTCTTTCTAAACCAAGTGTGACAGGATTCAGGTGTATTTACTGTTCCTGAAATGTATTGTCTCAGTAAAGCACCCTGCAGAACTCGAATGAAACTGAAGTGAGTCAGAAGGAGGACAAATGCCACAGATAAATGTCACTTGTCTGTGGTATATAGAAGAACAGGGTAAAGAATACAAGGTAACAAAGGGGATATGCCTAGATGACCCTTGGCCCTTGATTACACAAATAAGAAATAAATGGAAGGAAAGAAACTGAGGGGAGTGAGAAGAAAAGAATGGAGGGGCGTAACAAGTGTAGGGGGCATGTACAGTAGTGTAGAGGTGAGGTTTATCTGTATATCTGTATTATACAGCTAACAACACTCTAAGCATAAGACTCATATTAAAACATCCAAGTTAAAAAAAATATGCCTGTCCAGGGGAATGGTGCTGCCATCAGTCAACCTGCATCTGCGGGGAGAGTGCATCAGGAGCCTGATGATGACTTTAGGCTTCCTGATACCCCAAAATTGCCTCTGTGCCTTTGACCCCAACAATGTGGGACCAAATTTGCCAAAAAATTAAATGACCAGAAGTTAAGTATGTGGGAGCCATGCCCACAAATCACCTCCAGCTCAGCTATACAAGCTCATTGACCTTACTTCAGAGACCCATAAATAACTCTAGAAAGAAATCAAAAGCCACAATTAATCTCAGAACCACTCATGGCTGAACAGATAGGGGTAAATCATGTTAGCCTGAAGCACCCCCAAGCAGAGCTCCCAGCAGCTGCTTGCTTGGAAGCAATCCAAAATAGCCACCATACCTCTGACCTGACTTCACCATCTCAGGATGGACCTCACAAAGATAAAATCTGCTGAAAATTCTGGTATGTAGGTTTTCTGATGGAAATCTCCAGGCTTTCTCATAGTTGGGATGGGTTACCTCCCCCCACTTCCCAATACACATGGAAGCACCAGCATTCACCCCCCACGAACCAACTCCAGTGCCACCATGTCAGCTCTACTACAGACTTTGCTTAAGAGATCCATAAATCTCGAAAGATATCAAAAGTTGCAGTTAATCTGGGACCCAAACTTGGCTGAACAGACCAGGATCGCCACCATACCCCTGGCTTGACTAAACCATCTCAGAATGAACTTCACCAAGACAGAACCTGCTGAAAATTTGGGTATGCGGGTTTTGTGACTGAAGTCGCCAGACTTTCTCAGTGTCTGGATGGGCTACCTGCCTTCACCTCCCTGTACTTCTGGAAGCCTCAGCAGTGACATCCACACCCCAAAGCTGCCACACAGTTAAAAAGATACTCCAGCCTTACTGAGTCAATAAAAATACTGAACTCCCTGAACAAACACCATGACCTCTGAGTACCTGTATTGCAAATCATAACACACAGAAGGAAAAGGAGAAAGAGAGCAAGAAGAAAAGTGCCTCCCATAGAGGGAGCTGGGGATGAGGGATGGGGCATTGGAGGGTGGTGGGAAGGAAACGGGACACTGGTGGTGGGAAATGTACACTGGTGGAGGGATGGGTGCTGGATCATTGTATGACTGAAATCCAATTATGAACAGATTTGTAATGGTCTATCTCATGGACATTCAATTAAAAAAATTTTAAAAAGTAATGTGGGCTGGAGCGATAGCACAGTGGGTAGGGCGTTCGCCTTACAAGCGGCCAACATGGCCGACCCGAGTTCGATTCCTCCACCCCTCTCGGAGAGCCCGGCAAGCTACCGAGAGTATTCGATATGCCAGACACAGTAACAACAAAGTCTCCAATGGAGATGTTACTGGGCCCGCTCGAGCAATGTGGAGTTCATGCCAATTCAATCAGCTTAATTAATGGCTGAATAAATAGCAGTACTCGTACATCACCGAGGTTTCTGCGGCCACAACGCAGAGTACTAACCACTATACGATCACGGCGCGCCACCAGGAGTCACGGCAGAGCCTGGCAAGCTCCCAGTGAAGTATTCAATATGCCAAACACAGTAACAACAAAGTCTCCAATGGAGACGTTACTGGGCCCGCTCAAGCAAATTGACGAACAACGGGAGGGCCTTTACTTTACTTTACTTACTTTATTCTTACATGAAAAAATAATGATAATAATAAAATGTGCCTGTCAAGGAGACAGGCTGGGGGTGGGAGGAATCTTAGGGAAACTGGTGGAGGGAAGTCAACACCAGTGGTGAGGTTGTATGGAACATTTTATACCTCAAAGTCAACTATGAATAACTACGTAAGTAACAGCGCATTAATGCTTAACAAACTTTTTGTAAATTTAAAAAGGAAAGGAAAGAATAACTGTAAGCCTTAGCGGATCAAAGAACAAATATAATTTCATCATCATGGGGAATGAGCAGCTACCGCCAAACATCACCCTTAAAGTAGTGCCAGAAGGTTCCATACTTCTCTCACCACACTCAGTGGTTCATCATCCGAGGATGCCTAAGGACCACACACCTGTTTTTCTGAAGGAGGAGACAGAGAGAGACACATGGAGTTGATGGAGCCCCATGAGTGGAGCCATAGCTGTCAGCTGACCTGGCTGGGGAAGGTAGAGCTTCACACCCCCACCCCCAGTGAACTCCACAGAGAGAGGGTAGGTTTGTGCCAACTATCAAGACGGGCCATTGGGCACAGACACTTGGCTCTGGACACTTGGCTGTGGCAGGTGTGTTCTTTCCCCCACTGCCCTCCCCTCTTCCCTGGGGATTTAGAGTCTGAGGTCAGAGGGAAACCCAGATGCTGTCCACCGACACCATAGACAGGGGCTGAGATGGGGAGAATTGTGAACTCTGTGCTCAGGTTTGCCCTCCCTGCCCAGGGCTGTGGGTGGCTAAGGGAAGTTGTCTTTGACTCGCCATTCCCCTCCTCCAACCAGGACCCAAAAGAAACCCAGAAGTAAGGTCACAGCGACACCTTCTGGTATTGGAAAAAGAGGCGATTTAGAAATCACAAGCTGGCAAGGCTTCAAGAGCATGAACATAAAGGAAACACTCACATTTTTCTCAGTGCATGTGGAACGTCGTCCAGTTCAAATCAATCACAGATCTCTGCAAAAGTATCAATAATAATATAAACGTTTAAGTGAAATTAAGCATCTTTTCCCATTACAAAGCTATGAAGGAAAAAAATCAACCCAAAAGCAAACAGTAAGAATCACACTATACAGAAGCAGAACAAGATTCTTCTGAATAGCTCTTGAAACAATGAGGAAATAAATAAGATATTTGAACATTACAAGAGACAAAGTAAAAATAAACTAGGACATGCAGCAAAGAAAGTGATGGGAATGAGGGAAGATCAAAGCGATACAGGCCTACCGTTAAAAAAAGAAAAGAAAAAGTAAGAAAGTCTCAAATAATCAATTTGAGCTCACATGTGAAGAAAATGGAGACATAAAGAAAAAATTAGCAGACAGAAATGATAGGAACTTTATTATAAATAAACAAAAATTAAAATGACATAAGAGCCCAAATTATTTGAATCTCATTCCTACAGTGTCTGGTAGGTGTGATGGCACAAAGAAATTCTAACTCAGGCATTCTTCTTTTTCTAGGAACTCATAAATGACAAAGTAAGGGCCTTTGACTGTAGATTTATGAGATATTCTCTCTTTACTTTTTTGTTATTTTCTCTCTTCCCTTTTGGTTTTTGGAACACACCCAGTGGTGCTCAGGGCCTACTCTAGGTTCTGTGCTCAGAAATCATTCCTGGCAGTGCTCAGAGGACCATAAACGTTTCCTGGATCAAAGCAGGATTTAGTCACATGCAAGCCTTTACCGCTGTACCTATCTCTGGCTCTTCTTTGCTTTTTTCTTTTTTTTCTTTTTTTCTTTTTGGGTCACACCCAGCGATGCACAGGGTTTACTCTTGGCTCATGCACTCAGGAATTACTCCTGGCGCTACTCAGAGAATCATATGGAATGCTGGGAATCGAACCCGGGTCAGCCACGTGTAAGGCAAACGCCCTACCTGCTGTGCTATTGCTCCAGCCCCACTTTTTTGCGTTTTAACATAGATTTCGGCAGAGAAGATGAAAGACAGGGTCTTTCTGACATCAGCTGCCTCTGATCTCTCCTGAAGATTCATCTGACAGAAGAGACATTTCACAGCAGAGGAAAATGTGAATTTCATTTTCTTGTCTCTTGTTCACTAGTGTTATAATGGGTCTCAGGGAGCTGAGAGCTCAGATGGACACAGGGAGGACATGAAGTAAAGAACAGAAGCATCACTGACCACACACGACAAGGAATAGGCTTTGCGACAGAAAATCAACAACAAATTGGAAAACTCTACAAATCAGCATATATATTATTGTAGATTTCACAAGGGGAGGAAAAAAATACTACAGTAAGCCAAGAAAACCAGGAGGAAGAATCTAATTTCCAGACTTAGCAATTTATAAGAAATTTCTGACAATCCCAGACACATAAACAGAAAAACAAAATCGGTTTTGACAAAGGTGCAAAAGTAAAATTCTTAGCGATGATAGAAAACACCAGATTAATAAGCTTAAAAATGAATAAACTGAACATCAATATTTAAATCTCATATTTTGAGTAAGATGGTTTTCATGGTAAGTGATCACCATGCCACAGTTTTTCATCTTTATAACTTCGTCTTATTGAGATTGATATTCTCCAAACGGGACTATACATGCTATGAAAATGAAATGTTATAGAAATGACTACTGACTAAATGACTGAGCAAAATCCACTTGACATCCTCTGATAGAAAGAATGTTTATTATACTGGATGTTAGTATTTGTTACAACGGATTATACTATTTTCCCTGATGATTCACACACTGAGGATCTTTCAGATTATTTCCAATGAAAGTCATTACTGAAAAATTCTAAATGATACTGAAAATTATGGAATTGTCCCTTCTAATGGGTGAATTTTATGACACGAATTCTATCTCAGTTGAACTCTGTAACAAGCTGAGAAGCGTATCCCTTATCTAGCGGTGTGGCTTGCCCTTCCTGGGTTGAAGCATCCTCGCACAATCCTGCCTCCCTGGGTCCCTCCTCTCGGCTCGCTCCTTGGGTCTCCCGTTCTGCTCCAACGTTCTCTTCTCAGGATGGATCCATCCCGCAGCTCCAGCTGCGCCTGAGGCCCCTACTCAACTCGGAGCTCGACCTCTCCAGCCCAGATCTCTTCCAAAAGCCACCTGGAGTCCCTAGGTCCCTCCCTTGAGTGAGCAGAAGCACTCAGCTGCTCCGTGGACCCTGCTCCAACTCTCCGGGGCCTGACCTGGTCAGAGTGGGGCCAAGGTGGGGTGTGAGAGCTCGGGTCCGAGGGGATTAGGACGGGGTCAGGGCGGGGCCAGCGCGGGGACAGCGCAGGGGCAGGTCCGAGGTCAAGGAGGGCTCAGGAGAGAGCTGTGTCCAAGGAGGAGGGTGCGATTAGAGAGGTCATGTATGTCTTAGGGTCAGGGGGCAGTGTCAGGGTGGGGTCAGAGGACAGAGGGGCGGGGCCACTCTGGCCCTGGGCACGGAACCGGGAAGCCCCTGGCAGGAAGTCCCGCCCCCAAAGCCCGGGGGCCCAGGAGGTGCCTGGGGCGCCCTGGGCACAGGTGAGCGGATGGCCTTGGGCAGGGAACAGCCTGGAGTGGACTGGCCCAGCCTGTTTGTTCCTCCCGGTGTTCCCCAGTCTTTGTGCGGGCAGCCAGCCACTGCGTCCACGCGGTTGGGACACCCGGCCCGCCCTGTCCAGGCCCCACGGCCCACCACCGCCCCTCCCGAGACAGCGGGGAGGTGGAGGCGGGATACTAGGACAGCCCCTCACACAAAGCTGGTGTCTGGGCCGGGGTGGGAGTGGGGTGGGGGGCGCTGTGGGCATGGGGTCGCCGGGATGCGGCTGGAACCAGCTGTGGCCACCACATCCCTTCCGCGTCCTCCCACGGGGCTTGCTAACGCGCGCTCTGCTGTCCAGGTTCCTGCTGCCCAGGCAGCGGGCAGGGACATTAGACACCAAGCTGCCCTGTGGCTCTGGGGCTGGTTGAGCCCTGCTCCTGGCTTTCCCAACGAGAAGTGGTCAAGGGTCTACCGGAGAGGAAACGGGGACCTCCCTGTCTCCCGCACGGCGTCGGGCTGGTCTCCACAATGTGCGGGAAGCCCAGGGGCGTAGGGATGATCACTGGTGGCCAGGAGGCCGTGGAGGGCCAGTGGCCATGGCTGGCCAGCCTGCAGTACCGGGGCAGTCATCCCTGTGGAGCTGTGCTCATTGATTCCCACTGGGTGTTCTCTACCACCCACTGCTTTCCAAAGTGAGTTGTTTCTTGGGTCCTTGCAGCTGGGCTGGCAGGGGAGAGGGTTAAAAGATTAGAGCCCCCGCATCCTCAAGGCTGTGTGCTGGGATAATCTGTGTCATTCTAGTCCAAGTCTTTCTGCCTGTGACCTGTCCTCTCCTGTATTGTCCTCACTCCTCACCTGACTTTGCTCGTCTTCCATCCTCATCCCTGTGCCTTCCCCCGACACAGGTATGCCCCCGAGATGGCAGTGTTCATCCTGCCTCCCAGGTGCAATGAGAGCTGACTCTTTGTCACCTCACACCAGGGCTTCCCTCAATGTCCCTGCAATCCTGGTTGGCGGAGAGAGGCTGGAACCTGGGATGCAGGGTCAGATGCTGGTGTTCTGCATGTCTCTGGCCTGGGGTCTCTGCTCAGCACATGTCTATTGGCCAGCTGCATGGACACTAGATATGGAGTCCGTGACCTTGAAGAAGAACAGAGCTGCTCTCTGTCCTGGGTCTGGTTGGCTGTTCCTATAGGTTTGGGAAGGGCAGTAACCAGGAGCTGGATCTTCGGTACATAGAGAACCACAAGCATCTGCTCTGTGCTGTGTCCCACTTGAGACTCACTATGGATTAGGTTGGCTTGACCCACCTCACTGTGTCTCCATTTAGTCAGAGCCAAAGTTCCCCTTGTGGATGAGCAGGGCTGACACCATTGGAGTGTGGAAGTCAGATGGGTAGGCTCCTGTGGGTATAGGTCAGCTTGTGGAAGCAAGGGTTTGGTCACCGGCTGTGTGTGGGGAGGAATTTCCAGGTGGTGGAGTGGAAGGTGGGATGTTTCCTCCCTCATGGTCAGAACACAGGACATCCTGCACACATGGTCTCCCACTGACCAATGATTTTGTGCAGTTTTAGAACAGGTGAGTACCAAGAAGGAAGTGAGGGGCGGGAACGATAACACAGTGGGTAGGGCGTTTGCCTTACACGTGGCCAACCCGGGCTCGATCCCCAACATCCCATATGGTCCCCTGAGCACCGCCTGGAGTAATTCCTGAGTGCAGAGCCAGGGGTAATCCCTGTGCATTGCCGGGTGTGACCCAAAAATCAAATAAAAATTAAAATAAAAAATAAAAAAGAAGGAAGTGAGAGAAAGTGGTGCTAGAGCAGTTTGGTCATAAGGCGGGTCAAGAGCCAAGACGGAGCCAGGGCTCTCTGCATGTGCCCAAGGAAGGTCAGGATTGTCTAGCCTCATGGGGGCCTCCAGCCCTCTGTGATCCCTTCCTCCAGTAGTGGGTGTGTGCTGAGTTGTGAGTAAAACCGCCGCTTGTCTCCAGAGAGAAGGGATGACAGAAAGGGAGAGTCGTGTGGGGTGGTGCAGACAAGGCAGTGCTGGGGGTCAGATGATGGTGTAGAGGCACAAGCTGCCATATGCAGAAGATAATGACTGTCACCTTCCCTCCTGTAGGAAGTCTCATGCCCCTGCGGATTACTGGGTGTTTGGGGGAAGTACGCAGCTCTACCAGGACACCCAATACGCCAGGAGGGTGACTGTGAGCTGCATTATCATCCATCCAGACTTTAAGAAGCTCCACCATTTTGCAACGGTGTTACAACTGCACCAACCTGTGAACTTCAGCTCCTATATCATTCCTGTCTGCCTTCCAACCCCTGGCATGGAGCTGCCCCTTGGCACATCTTGTTGGATAACTGGCTGGGGAACGCTCACCGAGAACAGTGAGTGGCTATGGTGTGGGTGTGGGTGGGAGATGGGGAATGGGATTCTAGCTCATCAAAATCTCTAATTAGCATGGAGGCCAGTGGACCTTGTCCCTCTGTGCGTCATTTCCAGAGAGCTGGACTCTTCTAGTTCCTCTTGTGAAAAATGTGTCCTTTCGAAAGCTTTAAAGTTACTCAAATTCTGGGGTCCTTTGGTTTTTGGAGTCAGGAATCTGGATCTCAAAGTTTCTCTGGTTTGGGTGTCCAAATTTAACTGATAAATTAATTGATTTAGGGTTTCTCAAAAATGCTGTTTAGGTGGCCTGAAAACTCCTCTCAGTGATGTATGGCCTACCCGCTCAGTTTGAGGATGCAGTGTTGTTAGGTCCTGCAGGCCACCCCACTGATGCTGGGGAAACCTCTGGGCCACATCTGGTTGTGCTCAAGGGCCAGTAAGGCTTTATCTTGATGCTCAGGGAACATGTCATGCCAGAGATATGACTGGCAATGATTTTGTGAGAAGCATGTATTTCACACTTCTGTTATCTTCTAGCCCCTTGGTTCTAATATTTCAATTTGATGTAGATCAGACATGACTTTGTGAAATGAATTTGTCTGAGTGTTTCTCTTTCTACTGTGAAATACCTTGATTTTTCCATGGCCATAGAAGGAACACGTAAAGTAAAGTAAAGGCCCTCCCGTTGTTCGTCGATTTGCTCGAGCGGGCCCAGTAACGTCTCCATTGGAGACTTTGTTGTTACTGTGTTTGGCATATCGAATACATCACGGGGAGCTTGCCAGGCTCTGCCGTGCGGGTGAGATACTCTCGGTAGCTTGCCGGGCTCTCCGAGAGGGGTGGAGGAATCGAACTCGGGTCGGCCATGTTGGCTGCATGCAAGGCAAACGCTCTACCACTGTGCTATCGCTCCAGAAGGAACACGTAAAAGTAAGAAAAAAGCTCTTGAAGAACCTTGGGGAAGAACGATCATGGCCTGAAATTATCTCAGCTCCATCACCTAAGTTTTGTTCTTCTCCTAACCTGTGTCTCCTATCTGCCTCTTGGATTTGTTAGGTGAATGGAGATATAGGGTGAATACAGGGCAAAACTTTGTGGAGGTTTTTAGTTAAATTAGAAATATAAACATTGAGTATAAACATGAACTTGTTCAGAGAAGTATGTTTATACTTTAGTGAAATGTTGATGGCATACTGATTAGGGAAAAGGAAATATTTATTTGCCTTTTAATTTTTTTTTATTTTTATAAAGTTGTTCACAATAATTTATTACATTAAATATTCCAACACCAATCCCACCTCCATACACTTTCTCACCACCATTATTTTGAATTTTCTTTCTTTCTTTCTTTCTTTCTTTCTTTCTTTCTTTCTTTCATCTGTCTGTCTTTTTTTCTTTCTTTCTTACTTTCCTTTTCTTTTTGGGTCACACCCAGCAATGCTCAGGGGGTTGCTCCTGGCTCTGCATTCAGGAATTATTCCTGGCGATGCTCGGTGGACCATATGGGATGCTGGGAATCGAATGTGGGTCAGCCGCGTGAAAGAAAAATGCCTTCCAGCCCCTAACGGCCTTTATTTATTTATTTATTTATTTTATTAGTGAATCACCTTAAAGTACAGTTATAGACTTACAAATTTTTGTGCTTGGGTTTCAGTTATACAATGATCAAGAACCCATTCCTCCACCAGTGCCCATTTTCCACCACCACGGGTCCCAGTATCCCTCCCATCCCCGACCCCTCCATCCCACCCTGCCTCTGTAGCAGGGCATTACCTTTTGTTCTCTCTCTCCTTTTGGGTGCTGTGGTTTGCCAGAGAGGCATTGAGTGGCAATTGTGTTTGGTCTATAGTCTACTTTCAGCATGATTCTCACATCCTGGGAGGATCCTCTTAACACCCTTTATTTGGTGCTCCCTTCTCTATCTGAGCTTTCTTTTCCCCTAGCACATGTGACTGGCCTCCAAGTCATGGAGCAAAATTCCTGGTACTAATCTCGGCCACTCTTGGGTGTTAGTCTCCTATTTTGTTACTTTATGTTCCCCAGATGAATGCAATCTTTCTGTGTCTATCCCTCTCTTTCTGACTCATTTTGCTTAAAATGATACTTTTCATGTATTACCACTTGTATGTAAATTTCATGATTCATCTTTTCCAACAGCTACATAGTACTCCATTGTGTAAATGTACCAAAGGTTCTTCAACCAGTCATCTGTTCTCGGGCACTCAGGTTTTTTTCAGATTCTGGCTATTGTAAAGAGTGCTACAATGAACAAACAAGTGCAGATGTCACTTCGACTATACGTTTTTGCCTCTCTGGGACATATTCCCAGGAATGGTACAGCTGGGTCAAATGGGAGCTCAATTTCTAATTTTTTGAGAATCATCCATACTGTTTTCCAAAAGGGTTGAACCAGTCGGCATTCCAACCAGCAGTAAAGGAGGGTCCCCTTCTCGCCACATCCGCACCAGCACCGGTTGCTTTTGTTCTTTTGGATGTGGGCCCGTCTCTGTGGTGTGAAATGATATCTCATTGTTGTTTTGATCTGCATCTCCCTGATGATTAACGGTGTAGAGCATTTTCTCATGTGCCTTTTAGCCATTCAGATTTTTTCTTTGAGAAAGTTTTTGTTCCTTTCATTGCCCCATTTTTGATTGGGTTGGATGTTTTCTTCTTGTGGAGTTCAACCAGTATTTTGTATATCCTTGATATCAACTCCTTGTCAGATGTGTGTTCGGCGAATATTCTTTCCCATTCTGTAGACTGTCTTTGTATTTTGGTCACTGTTTCTTTTGAGGTGAAGAAGCTTCTTAGTTTAAGATCGTCCCATTTGTCTATCGCTGTTTTCACTTGCATGGCCAGTGGCGTGACATGTTTGAAGATACCATTAGCTTCTGATCTGCTGCCACCATCCCTCGCTCTACCTTTTCCTAGTCTCCTCCTCCTCCTCGCCCTTTGTTTCTTCGATCCCCACACCCAGTTGTGTCTCCATTCTGCCCCCATCACTCTGTGGTCTGTTTCCTTGGCAGCTGTGATCTTGCCCAGGCTGCAAGAGTCCCCAACTCTTCTCGCCAATATAAGGGAGGGCTGTTGGCCCTGTTTCCTGGTCATAGGATTGGCCACTGGCCTTCTCTGCTCTTCTCCTGCTCCCTCCCTGCTAACAACTGGATCACAAGACCCCAGGACCTGATTTTATCTTCCCCTGGTGAGAATGGTGAGAACCCACAGATCTCATAGTGCCGTTCTGTAAATATTCTCCCAAATCTCAGGTCTTTGGGACTCTTCCCCCATCTATGATGTCTGACATTCTCTTGTAGCCCCTCTGTTGAATTCTCAGTCAGTGCTGTCTTTTCTTCATAGTACTTCAAGACCCGCCCGCTGCAGATCTACTTCTCCATGGTTGGATGACCAGTATAATCCCTAACTGCCTTCCTTGCTGCCCACAATGCTTCTGCTTTTCCTACCACACTGGACCCTCCTCTTTGTACCCTCTGCTCCCTTGACTCCAGGATCACAAGGTCATTTTCAGTTTCTTGCTTGGAATCCCAGCTCAGCAAAGCCTTCTTCCGGCAGCCATGAGCAACGCCCCTCCCTTCTAGACAGCTCCCATCTCTTATGAGATTTGATTGCACGTGTCAATCTGAGAGAGGTCTCTGGTCTTCTCTGTATGTGACTGTGTGCCTTAAAGCTCCAGTACTAGGAATCACACAAGGGTACTCAGGGAGCATTTGTCTGCAGTGTGGTTAGAGGAGCCTCAGAGCTATAGTTCCTGCTCCCCAACTCCCTTGCCTAGATGAGCCTTTCCCTTTGATGCAATAAGAGGGGTTCTGCCCACACTGGTTTCCCTGAGATTGTTTCAGGATGCTTTGTGGTGACGAGGTCCCCACCCCTCAGGCCCCAGCATTATAGAGTTTCTCCACCACACCTAGGTAGGAGCATTTTCCAAAGAGTCTGAACATTTTTTAAGAAACCCATAGGCTGAAGTGACTGAGAGGAAGGATTCTAGGTGGTGCATATTGCTGTAATCAGCTTTCTGAAAAGCCTAGGGTCTATAGTGGCTTCAGACACCCAGTGCCTCTCACAGGCTCAGTCTCTCGGCCCTTATTCATTAACCATCACTTCTGATGCTGAGTTAGTACAAGGTCCTCGGCCAGTGGCCAAGTTTAACTGCATGATTGATAGATTTCCAACTGTGACTGTCCCAAGGATCAATTTGGAGCTTCCTAGTGCAGGATTGTAGTTCCGACCCCTGACTCTAGAACTATATCAGGACACTGGCATCAGGATCATCCCAAGGGACCACTGAAAACACCCGAACAGCCGTGTCCAATAACCTGCCCTTATAATTAGAATTCAGAGCCCCACCTCAATTGTCCACACTGATTGCCCTCTCTTTTTTTAGGGTGATTCTGGAGGCCTTCGGGTCTTTGACTTCTCCAAGAGTTGGGTTCTTCTGGGGTTGGCCAGTTGGGGCCTGGACTGCCAGCGTCCCATATCCCTCAGTGTCTTCACCAGTGTTGCCCATTTCATCAAGTGGATCGTCCAGATCCAGAGACTTGTGCCTCTTCCTGTTTCCTTGTCTGCTCCTCCTGAGGTCCCATTTCTATATGAATCCTAGCCAGTTTCCAGCTCATCGATATTAACCCTCAGACCTCTACAGCACTGGCTCCTGTTGCTTTTAGTGCTTAAGGCCCTGTGGCAGGACCTGCAGTGACCGAAGAACATTCTGTCCCTGCTCTTTGCCCCAGTCCTCAGCATTCTTACTGGAGCCTCACACTTGCCACCATCTCTGTGGTTCTGTCCATCAGTTATGATCCCAAACCCAAGCCTGGAAAAGCAAAGCAAAACCAAATAAAGGCTCACCTTGCTCTGAAATTGGTGCATGTCCCTTCCTGTGGACTGGTCATCTGAACCCCTGGTCAAGGAAAGAAGTCTGGCAGGAAGGCTGACTGGCAGGAGGGCAGGCCACTGAGGCCACTGGCACCTGCTAAAAGAGTTGTCTGTGTCCACGTTGGTAGACTCTCCTCTGTGTCGAAGGTGAGCATATCTTCCCAGATGATGATCAATCTCTACCATCCCTCAGAAACAATAGGACAGGCCCATAACGCAAATGATGAAAACATCTCTGGAACCTGGAGGTCTGAGATGCAGAGGCAGCAGGGCTGATCGCACCCGAAGCCTCTCCACTTCATGTGTGGGTGCCTCTGTGTGAGTCCATGTCTCTTCTCATCAGGACACCAGTCCTGTTGGGTTTGGGTATTTATCAGTGATCTCTTTCCTGTTAATCACCCCTTTGAAAGAACTGACCTCCATGGGTCTGGGAGCTCTTAGAGCTGTTTGGGGGCATGTTCAGTATGCATCATTGGGTGCAGCCCTGGAGACACCCTGGCACTGAATTGCCATTGAATTGGCCAAGAAATGCCAGTGATGAAGTTTACATAGGTGTGCATAGATCTATCCCTCAGATGTGGCATATAAAGAGTTGTAATAAGGAAATAATAAATGCCAGAGACAATAAAAACTAAGGAAGAGTTTAGATAGTGGAGTTTCCTGGGTGGCAGGGGAAGATGGTCTGGGGGAGAGGGGACTGGAGCCATGGCTGGGGAGGGCAGTGGGCACTCTGGTGCTGGTGTGGTGAAGGGACACTGTGTCCATGGACCCCTACCACTGTAGCAGTGGGCAGTGCTGATACCCTTTCAGTAACAGTATTGCAAACCACACTGCCTAAAAGGGAAGTGAGAGGGGGTGGGGGGGGAGACAGACAGACAGACAGATAGACAGGCGCTCTTGTGCTGGTGTGTAGGACACTGTGTCCATGGTCCCCTATCACTGTAGCAGTGGGTAGTGGGCAGTGGGTGCTCTGGTGCTGGTGTGTAGGACACTGTGTTCATGGACCTCCATCACTGTAGCAGAGGGCGGTGGGCACTCTGGTGCTGGTGTGGTGGAGAGACACTCTGTCCATGAAACCCTATCGCAGTAGCATTAGAAATCATGGTACCGAATGTTTTAAAAATATAAAGAATCCCTCATGGTGCCCCCAGACCTCCTGAGCGTTCCTTGGGAAGACCCCCCCACCAACGCCAAGAGAGACCCTGAAACCAGCCCAATGGCTGCACATGCGTACTGAGGGGCGCAAAGGCCATGTGCTGCCAGACACACGCCCAGCCCAGCACCACTTTCAGGGGGGTGTCCTGTCCTCCTGCAGTCCCAGCAGCCAACATAGCCTTCCAGGGGAGCACAGCCGAGGTGCCCCGGCCTCTGCCCAGGCGCAGCACCCGCAGAGGGGCAGTCCTGTATGGGCCAGCAGACGGGCACCTTCTGAGGCAATAAGGCCCCAGGAAGCCCCAGACGTCTGCCAGGGTTTAGCAGCAGTGCAGGGTAAGCTCACAAGTTTGGTCCCCGGGACAGCGTATGTTCACTGGAGCAGTCAAGAGTGACTCCTCAGCGGGGCTGGAGCAATAGCACAGCGGGTAGGGCGTTTGCCAACCCGGGTTCGATTCCCAGAATTTCATATGGTCACCTGAGCACCGCCAGGGGTGATTCCTGAGTGCAGAGCCAGGAGTAACCCCTGTGCATGGCCGTGTGAGACCCAAAAAGCTTCCTCTCCTTCAAACAGAAAACAAATAAACAAACAGAAACAAAGAGTGACTCCTCAGTACAGAGCCATGAGGAGCCTGAGCACTTCTGGGTGTGACCCAACTGCCCCCAAATTGTTTTAATAATTCTGTTTGGGGGGTACATGTTATTCACTTTCATCCCCACTAACGTGTCCAAACACCTCTGCCACTGCCTTTTTGTCATTTCTAGTTCGTCCCTTCCCTCTCTGCAATGTAATTTTACGTGAATTCAAATTCACTAAATATTTTAAGAAACACATTTTATGCTTAACTTTTCATTAGTAATAGCACCGTAGCACTGTCCTCCCGTTGTTCATCGATTTGCTTGAGCAGGCACCAGTAATGTCTCACAACAAATGTGAGACTTGTTGTTACTGTGTTTGGCATATCGAATATGCCACGGGGAGCTTGCCAGGCTCTGCCATGTGGGCGAAATACTCTCGGTAGCTTGCCGGGCTCTACTAGGGGCGGAGGAATCGAACTTGGGTCAGCTGTATGCAAGGCAAACACCCTACCCGCTGTGCTATTGCTCCAGCCCTCATTAATAGTAGCACTGTCCTCCTGTTGTTCATCGATTCCCTCAAGCGGGCACCAGTAATGTCTCACAACAAATTGTGAGACTTGTTGTTACTGTTTTCGGCATATTGAATACGTCATGGGGAGCTTACTAGGCTTTGCCCAGTGGGCGAGATTCTCTTGGTAGCTTGCTGGGTTCTCCGAGAGGGGCGGAGGAATCGAACCCAGGTCAGCCATGTTGGCCGCCTACAAGGTAAACGCCTTACCCACTGTGCTATTGCTCCAGCCCGTTAATAGTGATAAGTGCAGAGAATTAAAATGTTTAACACTGAAGAGTTGTTTTCCTACTGTTTCTCAATAATTAGAGTTGTAACTAGTTTTTAAAAACTAGTAGTCTAATTCCCTGAGAATCTCTAAGGTCCTGAGTTTCAAATATCTTATCACTGAAAATGAAGAATGGTTCTCAAACACCTTCTCTACAGGTACCAGGACCATATTTAAATGGTAAAACACTTAACAATTAAATCAGTACATTAAATCGGCCCCTTTATTATTATTATATGATTATTTGGTTTTGGGGGTACACCTGGTATACTCACATCTTACTCCTGGATCTCTGAACAGACTCATTTATCACAGTGTGGGGGCTATATGGGGTGCTGGGAATCGAGTGCATGGATTGGCTATGGGCAAGGCATGCGACATATCTGCTATACTATCCCTCCCTCTTATTTTTTAAAGAGTGATGGCAAATGTTCAAATATGTCTGGTTACAAAAACATTTAAATTCAATGATGTGAAATCAAAGCATTGTACATTTTATGTGAGTGAAGAATATGATATGCAAATACCCAATGAGCTTTAATTTTTTATTTGGTCCAGGCTAATGCAGCAAGATGAGAGCCTTGTCTATGCCCTCAGGATGGTGTGGGCCTGCAGGTGACTGAGCACATCTTCCTCCAGATGGGAAGGACTCCTCCACTGTCCAGGGAGCACAGTACTCTCAGGGTTCCCCCCTCCCCTGTGATTCCCCTCACCCTTTGTGCTCTCAGGCCTCCCAAGGAGCACAAGTGAGAGGACAGACACTGAGATGTTTCCAATGAACTGAACTTTATTCACTATTTACACAATGACACAAAGAGGCTGCTCCAGTCAAACCCCCCATTCTAGGTACAGCCCCCCCCCATTCCAGAGCAGGCTTAGCTGAAGATCATGGGGAGCACAAGGCTTCTGGGTGCAGCCAGACCCTGGGAGGTGGTCAGGAGGAGCCCCCCGATATCCTACTGTCTCTTGTACCACTTCCCCCTCCTCTGGGCCATGGCAGGCTGGCACTTTCTCTTGGGGGGCAGGGAGGGGCCCTCCAGCTCCACAGTCAAGGCTGAGCCAGTAGACACTGTGGGGTGCTCCCTAGGACAGGGGGTCTTCTTAGCAGTGCGCCGCCTTGGGTGCAGAGGATTCTTCCTGGTAGGGGCCTTAGACTTGAAGGCCCTTGTGCGAGTGGATGGGAGCTCGGGATTCCCCTGACCTCCAGGCAGGTGGGGGCCAGTGTCGGGACCAGTGTCAGGGCCAGGGCTCCTGGGTAAGCCCCAGGACAGCAGGCTGTAGTGAGAGGTTAGGAGGAAGGACAGGCTGGTCAGGTCCTCTTCCTCCTTACTAGAGCCCTCTGCTGGCCCAGGCGACCCCTGGCCAGGAAGGGCCTCGCCCAGCATGCGGGGAGCCCTGCTGTCCAGAGTGGGTGCAGTGAGGCTGGGACAGGGGGCCGGTCCTGCCTGCAGTGGTGGAGACTCCAGGCTCCCCCGAGAGAGGACAGAGGCTCCAGGTGCCATCCCAGTGACCTCGGCCCGCCCAGGCCGTGAGGCGTGTCCAGAGTCAGTCTCAGATTCAGCGCTGGCCCCTGGCCTGTGGCCCCAGGTAGGTGTTGGGGTGCAGTAGCCTGCTGCACTCTCAGCTGGACTCGAGTCCTTTAGGGACACCTGGTGTTGGGGACGAGCCTTCATGACCTCCTTGTCCTGCGGGGTCTGCAGACGCTTTTCCACAAGCTGGGGAGAGAAGGAACATTGTGGGCATGTGGGGGTGCAGGGTGGGACAGAGAGTGACCCTGATTCCTCCCGAAACAGAAAAACCAGATCTCTGTCCCACTAAGGGTCCTCACCCCATATTCACGTCCTCCTCTCACCTGAGGACTCAGAGGGAGGCGCCTGGTCATGACATGGGCAGGGAGGCCACCAAGTGACCAAGACCCAGGGCGCTAGGGCGCCCCTCCTGACTCACGACCCACCTGCTGCTCTGAGTGCCCTGGGCCCTGTCCACTGTGTCCCCTGCAGGGTCTCTTTCCCAGGAATCATGTGAAATATGCCTCCTGTTTGTCCTGATTTGCTGCCCACTAACTTACAGGAATGCCTCGCATTACTCCCCTGGGCCCCACATGGACCTCAGAGACCCATCTGCCTCACCTGTGCGGGGGTGAGTCCTTCCTCCTCCTCCA